TATATAAAAACTACTCACACACTGCAAACAAAGCCAGCCAAAGTGTAGTAAATCTGATGCTGGTTTACAAAAACAAATGAGTGCAGTCACCCAAGTCATCACTTGGTGGCAGTGGAGACACCACTGCAATACAGGAATAAAAGACTAATACACGTTACTGTACCTGTACAGCAGCCTGTAGTACAGCCATCTGTCCACCGGGCGGAGCTGTGTTCAACTTCATCAGCTCATCCACAGCAGGGCACAGAGCATCCAACTATAGAGGAAGAGAAAGAGAAAGATGTGAAGACAAAGTGGTTGTTTATTGAATGTTTTTCCAAATAACATCAATTGAATATTGCTTATTTCTGAACAGGGTCGCTGGAGCCTTCTTGCTTTGAGGTGACAGCGCCAACCACTGCGCCGCTATGCTGCCCCGCCAAATAACATGAATTAGAAAATTCTTTTCAAATGATCAGTGATTCATGAAATGCAGCAGAGAGATGACATAACAACTCTCTCACCATTGTTCTGTCTCCGGGATCGGCGCCACCATATCTGGAAGACAGTTGACATAACAGACTGTTTAGAGTCATGTGGAGCATTTCTAAACTTTATTATTTTCATTATAGTTTAATCAATTACCTATATTGAAGAATTCTTAAATTAATTGTTGTTCACAAAATGGCAAAAATAATGACAAAAGCAAACAACAAACTCATGAAGGTTTTGGTCAGACAAAAGAGACAGCCCCACACCTCCTTATGGCCTGTGTCCCAGCATGCAATGCACTGGCCCAGGCTGCGGCGTTGCTCTGCTCTGTCACATAACCAGCTGCAGCAGTCAAGAACAGACTGTACAGCTGACAGACACATGAAGACAACTCTAAGCTATCATTTACCATTTTATGTCAAAGCTGGAATATTAATTATCACAGAAAGTGGAAAACCTACCGCTCCCGAGGACCCGCCCATCTTCTCCTGCACCAATCCAGCAAGGACTGATAACAGCTGACCCGGGCAACCAGGAAACATGTGATCCTGCATCCACTCCTGAATGGCTGCAGGAGCATTTTCATGGTTTTAAAAACTCACTGGTTGATAATAACATAAAACAACAAAATGCCTTTCTAGTGAATGCTCTTTTCTTTTTCTACATTCATTATGCTACAGCTCAGCATGATGCTGCTGGTACAGTACATGGTTTCCTACCTTTAGCGGCCTGTGCATGAGTGTTCCCACAGTCCCCGTCCCCGGAGGCGCGGTCCAGTGAGTTGAGCTCTTCCTGCTTTTCCAATAGTGTGGAACAAACCCGCTCTAATGTTTTACGCATCACAGGACTCAGTGGCCCTGGCAGAAAAACAAAAAACAAAAAACAAAAAACACACACTTTAGATTTTTTGTTGGTAGGTGTAGCTGTAGCACATCTGATATAACCATCGTTTTCTCAATGTGACAGTTATACTATCTTTCCTTCTGCCGCCACACCTCCAACACACAAACATACATAGTAACAATATACTTGTATACACTGTAGGCAAGACGCTAACCTTGAGGGTATGTGTCATCTTGTGGTCGTGTGTTCATGGCTGGAGGATCAGATATGTAGCTGCGTCTGGTTACACACATGCTGCTGAGATTAGGCCAGGCGGGGGCGGTAGGCTTAGCATCTGCATGGAGGGTGGTCACAATGATTATGAAAGGGTGTGAGTGGGGGGGGGGTCAGCACAATTTGCATCTATATGTGAAAACAATGTGTGTATCACTGATCCATGTGTTTACCATGGCTGTACTTCTTAGTATGGGGTGATGAATTGCTGCTTATGCTCTGCTCTTGTACTTCTATCTTTGTGAGGATCATTTCAATATCAGGCATTGTGATGAGTTTGGTTCTCACATCTTCACCGTGCTGTTGTATAGGATTTCTCTTGTGCCAAATATACTTTAGATTTAAAAAAAAAAAAAAAGTGTAGTTCCATGTTTTGGGAAATGCATTTATCTGCTGTCTTTCTTCCAGTGAGCTGAGAAAATGTATCTAATGTCCCTTATGTCCTTGTTAAGTACAAAAGTGGAGTCAGCGTGTATGTGTGTAAATGCTCACCAAACAGTTTCAGTGTTTCCTGATCGGCCCTCATCAGGGTCAGTGACACGCCTGCCATCTCCAGTGATGTCATGAAGGACCCGGACATCACCCTGGCAACCACCACCTCACGATGCTCTGTAACCAAGGAGTCTGCCAGTCACATACCACAACATCCTCACAGGAGTTTAGCAGTGAATAAAAGAGGTCAAAAGCTCCCTGACTGGGAGTAGATTATTTTATTAGGAGTAAATACACAAACACAGGCAAACAAATCAATCCATACACACATATACAATAAGCTCTAATTACCCAGACACATGACTGCTGCTCTAGTAACCACTGACATCTCCAGACAAGACAGCGCTCCGAGGTTGTTCACACAGAGAATCACACTGTCTCCTGCAAGAAAAGAAGGGACAACAACACTGAGTTCACATTAAATGATGGCTGCAAACATTTCATGACAATATAATTAGAGGTATAATTGATTATACTTAGAGGACCTGACTTCAGAGGCAGCTGTGACTGGCTATCAGGGTTGGTCATGTGATCTATCATGGTTTTCACCACCTCATCTGCAGATGCCACCTGATTAGGAGGATAAATAAATAAAACCAACTCAATAAAAATAAGTTACAGGGTAAACTGATAGATTTAGGCTGGTACCTGCTTAATTTTACTCACTTTTGACCTTTTGACCCCAGCTTCACCATGGATTCCTGAGGAGAACAGAGAACACTAGTCAATATTTTGAAATGTCTGGAGGTCTCTCCCTCAATACACCTTTCAGTTTTTGTTATCCCTGATTTTCCTAGATATGATGTGATAAGAGAACTTTAGCAGAAATTTTGGCTCATATCTTATATTTTTGCCTGGTTTGTATAGTCAACTTTGAGACTGCATTAATAAAACAATACCCTGCTTCTGAAAAAGTTAAAACACCCTGTGTAAGTGGAGAAGACCCTTTTACTACAAGCAGTCTTGGATGTCACATAGGGGATTTAAAATTCATTTACAAAAGTAAAAATTCATCTAAAATATGGAATTTGTCTGTTCTTATTTTCTACCCCCACTCTCTTCTTTCTTTTTCCATCTTCCTGTCATTGTGTCTCACCCAGTCCCAGCTCCATGTCACCTGGTGGCAGATCAAATGAAGGCACGCAGCCTGGGACGCTGCACGGAGACAGACTCACCCCTAGTGTACCTGAAATACAAAAACGAATAAAATGTGTAATTATGAAACATATCCCAGTAACCACAGAGCAGTAGGTGAATGGACTGGTGGAGGAGAGACTCACCGATGCCCTTCAAAACCTCTGTCACCTTGGAAACGATCTGGTCCAGTGAGCAGCCTTCTTCTGCCAAAGCTCCTGCCAGCTGACAGATTGGCAACATTTTTGTCAGTAAAAGTAAATTAAACATCTGTTTTGTTGAGCTGCATGATGGAAAGTGTAGGATAAACATTTATAGTCAATATTATTGTTGTTGTTTACCTTGTGCATCAACATGGTGCCACACAAGCCTCTCCTGCCAGCCTTGCTGGGTTGGTCAAAGGCGCAGTCCTCTGCGACTATCACCATGTCAACAGTGACGCCGTGGTTACGGGCCTGCTCTGCAGCCAGTCCAAAGTTGAGGCGGTCACCGGTGTAGTTCTTCACAATGAGAAGAACCCCAGAGGCTCCTAGGGTACAGGACTGTAACTGTCATTTAATTTAATTATTCTTTAAATGAATAATTAAGTCACTCTAGCGACTTTAACTTGTTTTGACGCTATGTTTTCCAGATGATTTTTTCCAATGATGGCTCCTTGTAGAGTCAGCTTTGCACAGTATGCAAGTGTTGAAAGAAGGAGCAGAGCTGAAGAGCTCCCATTTCAGGCAAGATACTTTGATGAACACACAGATCAACATAAAGAGATACATGAAACATAAACATACATTATCCCACAAAGAAACTGTGCAGGTGGGACTTAGAGTGGCTGATAAGAAGCCTCTGACATACAACTCCTATATCTGTTGTATGCTTATTTGGTGACTCTAAATTTGCATGGACTTCTAAAGAATTTCATGATTCCACCGTGAGTTACAAAGCAAGCTGATACACAGTAAGTCAAAAGGGCACATCAAAATACTCCTGTCCCTGATGTAAGCTTCATGTTCACAAATAGGTCCCATTTCCTAGGACACAGACACATGCAACAGCATGACATTCTGTGATGCGATTGTGAAGATTGATCAGTTAAAACCAGCCAACACTTGGTGTACATTACCTGCATTGTGCAAGCAGAGAATGGCAGCCAAGATACTGGCAGAAGGTGGAGATGCAAATACTCCACCTGCTACAGCTGCTGACAGCATACCTGCACCAACATAGCCTGGAGACACAGAGAAGGGAGATTAATCTGTGAGAAATAAAAGCTGAGCTATAATTAAGGTGTGCAGTGTCCTACCCCCATGTGCTGGCTCATGCCCTGACCCTCCTCCAGACAGTACAGCCACTTTGCCTCTTAGGTTGTCCAGGTCAGACCGAAGTACAACTCTGTGGCCCCTCAGCAGAGACAGGCCCCCATTGGCCCTGACGAGGCCACAGAGAGCCTCATCCACACAGCTGTCCACTGAGTTTATTAACTTCTTCTGGGGCTGAAAGAGAGAAATGAAGAATATATAATTAGCACACAAAATATGATGTATGGATATATGCCAACATTCAATGTCCATTTACATAGAAGTGCGTCTAGAATAATGATGATGATGATTCTTTGTAATCATATTTGAACATTTTGATTTTGCATTAGGTATTTTTACATTGTAGTAGTCAAAGTTGCATCTGCAGAGAATGTGTGTGGGTGTTTGTGTGTGAATGAAGTCAGGCCTCGTTTCACATAAACACAGTTAAATCAATTTGTACAGAAGCTGCATAGCAAAGCTGCAAAAACAACACAGCAATACTATGGGATTGACAGCTTCTCCTTCAGTTCCGTTATCACTGCAATGGACTCTGCTCTCTCTCAGTGACACGTGTGCAGCCTGTCATTGCTAGAAAAACCTTTTGTCATCCTTCATGTCAGCACATACAATCAGACATACATAATGCTCAGTGCATCTCTTCGCCGATGTTCAAAAAAGTCTTTTTAAATAAAGTTACCTCCATTTTAAACGTCCTTGCTTCTTTTACCTTCCGAGAGGAAGTTGAACAATAGCGTTAAATCAGATAAACACATATGCAACATAATACGTGTAACGATTTATCAAAGTCGACACCGGATGTCACGTGATTTGCCTACAAAACAAAAGCGTGTGTTCTTGTTCTTTTGCTTTTTCTTCTTCTTCTGTCTAATGGAGGTTGGCAAACAGCTTTAGGTGCACTACCGCCACCTTCTGGATCAGAAGAGCCCCTACCTACTACTATAACAAAATTATCTCACTCAATTCACATTATATTTTCTTGCTTAGCTCTGTACTCTCTAAAAAACTAAGAAGTGCTCTGTACCCTCTATCCCCTGAGCTTTTTTTAACACCTCCATTAAACTAAAGTTCATTC